GGTGGTGGTGGTGGTGCTGCTGCTAGTAGCAGCAGCAATAGTAGCCGCAGCAACAGCAGCAGTATTTTTAACTCCACATTTCGGACTAGATCCACAATGAAACACATCCAGCTGCCGGAACATAATTACAGCCAGACTCACGAGCATAGCCTTCCCGGAAACTTTAATGTTCTAGAAGATTTGCCATTCAGAATTAGATCAATCGAGGGGAGGAAGTGGGCAGGATTTATTATGTGGAGTCAACATCTGTAGGAGGAGCACACAAGGAGCATTTGCGGCGCAATGTACATAGTTACATAATCATGACCATGCTTCGTAGCAGAAAAGGCATAGACGTCGTGACTAACACATCAAGCTGCCTCCGAGCCGCTCAAAGAGTTGGCAGGTGCCACAGTGATGACTCCTTCCGGGCTGATCTCGAGCAAGGGGTGCCCAGCAAGCATGCCTGCAGCACTTTCACGGGGTCTCTCAGGGATCATGCGTCCCAACACGTGAGTGGTCGAAGCCGGCGGCCAGCCCTTGCATGCGCACTCCAGAGTACTCTGCACCACTGTGCTGCCTTTGAACTACATCTATCTCCGACTTGTATTGTAGCCTCGCGTCCACCAAACTCTGCCACCAACATCGCTGGAACCACGCAATTTCACTAAGCCGAAGGCACACAGCTTTGAGAGTCCAACTTGCCAAGTGGCCCATGCTCAGGAGGCGATTATATGTGAATTTTGTCGTGGGATCCCCACCGCTCACGTCGCAAGCCATACTGTAAGTCCTTGGACATGTCTGGGTCTGGAGCTTCAGCAACGTGTTGGCTGAGCATCGAGGCTTTGTGGTTTCAACCAACACGAATGGTTGGACTTGCTTCACAAACTGGTCTCCTTCGAAGACTCGGCTTCCTCACACCGCAACCAATTTTAATGGGATACAGAGTTCTTTGTTTTTGGAGTCATGCGCAGTGAGTGCCAAGTTTCCATGGCTTCATGAGGCCCACGCCCTTGTGCGGCTTCAGGCTGATGGGTGGAATCTCTTCGCCGACGCTCGCCGACAGAAATGCGGTGTCATACCTGAGGTCCCCAAACCCTCTTGTTTACGAAGTCCCACTGCCTATGATCCTAGCAAGCTCCATAATTTGCCGCTGCGGGCTGCTGCTATGAACTCATTACTGGCTGTCTCCCGTGAGCCATTGGCAGGCTAAATGTCATGCATCTTGGCTGAAAGTGGACTGAAGAACCGGAAGTCCCAAACCCCAAAGCAGATGATGTCAATTGTGTGAGCAGGGGTCAACATGGAATCGCTCATGGCGAGAGTCCATGGCCAGCCTTTCCCCATGCCTGGAAACCCTGGATGAGAAGCCAACTTCTGAGAAGCTTCTTGGGAGAGAACGCCCAAGATTCAAGATTGCAAAGCAGCCTTTGCAGCCTTCTGAGATAACTGCTGCAGGGTCAGGGGCAAAACTGAACTGCCAGCTCTAACAAGTCTGAGGCGCTCCATAGCAGTCCATGGCCGCGGCCGGAGAGCGACGAAGGAGGTCTGGTGCCTCATGCTGCAGGGAAGATTGGGCTACATGTGTTTTTGCAAGGCATGGTCTGTAGGGAACGGGGTCCAGGGCACTTCTTGAAGCACGTGCAGGAAAGACATATGACTGCTGAGGAGGGGATGAGGCACCGTGTGTAATTTGATGGCAAGGAGCTTCTTGTTAGCCTTCCACGCCGTGACGACGCACACCGCCCCGTCTTGGCCGTGAAAGTCGTCGACAGTCGACAGGCCCCCGGGTGCTGCGTTCTGATCCACGTAGCTGAGGTCGCCGTCGGCAGCACTGATGCTGAGCCAGCTGACCTCATCAACCACCCTTTTACTGTTCTGCGGTGAATCCTGCTCTACCCAAGATATGCTGCCGATTTCACACAATTCTACACGTCAAGCTGGACATGTGTGAGCTGCTGGGACGTCTCAGTGAGCGACCTCTGGGGCGCAGCCCAACTCAAACTTGGACCATCCCATCCCCGTCTTCAGCAGCGACTCAGTGGAGCCGTTGCGGAACAGGAGCGTGGAAGACTTATAGTTGAGCTCATCGGCTGCGATCAGCACTTTGGCTACCGTGTGGACACCTGCCATCAAGTGAGCAGTGACCTCGCACTCGATGGAGAAGGCTTCAATGGGCTTCGCACGGTTTGCCATGTATGAGATCACACCTGTGGAGCTGTCCATGGTGAGATTGTACAGAGGCAACTCGCACTTGGCATCCAAGCTGTACTGATCCGCTGTGCGCGGTTCCGGCTGCATCACTATGTCGGAGTCCAGGGTCCAGCGACGGTTGGGGTAGATGAACGGCGTTGGAGTCACAACTCCACCCCCGCACTGGCAGCAAGCTTCGTTGCTTGACTGACCACGGACCTTCACATCGTTGCAGTCGGAGCTGGTCAGCTGCGGGCAGGACTTGCCAGCTTCGCTGAGCCAACCCGCTGAGCTGACGCAAGCAACGCAGGTTCCCTCTCGAAAGTGGAAGCCCTCTACGCAGCGCTCACAAATGGAGTGCACGAAGGAAGCACAACCACTGCAGGCTCTGCTGGAGACTGGGCAACAAGTCTCGTTGGCCCCAGCGGGGCCAAGTTCCTCAGCTTCAAATCCTTGCCAGGACAGGCCCTCGCAGAGGAACTTCTTTTTTGTCCCTTTGTCTGCACTGCTAGGTTCACCGGCGCCGCCTTCGGCTTGGCACGCTTACATATGGGCCTGAGATCGTTCGAGCTGTTTCCAAGTTTTGCGAGCAAGGCTGCCATTCCTGGGCTCGCAGCCGACCTGCCCAAACTGCCCTGGCTGATGCTCAGGGAATCCAACTTCCCTTGCACCTGGGCCAGCTGCTGCTTCAGCCCAGCATCCTCACGTTGCAACTTCTCGACGGTGTCCTCCAACCGCTCCATCACGTTCAACACTTTCTCTTCCAACCCAGCCCGCTGCTTGCTCCTCGCCTGCACGGCGGGGCTAGAGCTCTCTTCAGCAGTGACGAAGCGGCTACGGGGTGAGGATAAAAAAAACAAATAAGGATCAACAAAACAAGAAACAGTGATCAAAAAAAATGAGGATCAAAAAAACAACAAAATCCTGGAAAATTGCGAAAGCTGCAAGGATTGGGGCTCGCGGGTTCAAGGCCGAGGATCAAAACAAAAAATGCTGTACAATTGCGAAAGCTGCAAGGATACAAATGATGAAAACCGTGCAAAATCACGGAAACTTCTGAAACAAAATGGAAAACTACGACATATGCTGTGATGAAAGATGATGAGAAAAATGAGCACAATGACCAAGAAAACATGAAAATTGTGAAAAAAAAGAGAAATTAGGATATGATGTCAAACGATGAGCAATGGCAAGCATGGGTTGCCTCTAAAAACAGCAGGGGGTTGGGGTGGGCGCAGCCCCCCCCCCCCTTGCAAACAAAACGAAATCATAAAAGTGATCAAAGGTGCTGAAACATATGGCAACTGATGTAAACTTATACAAATAATGAAAAAATCATGCTACATCACGGAAACCTCTGAAACAAGATGGAAAACAATGAGGAAACTGCGCACAATGACCAAGAAAATATGAAGATTATGCGAAATCAGGGAAACTATCAACATTAGAAGCAACCCTGGCAAATGACGAGAACCAAATCTGTTTACAAAAATCATGATACACCATGCAAATGATGCTGAGCGTGATGAAAACTGATGAAAAATGTGAAAATCCACGAAACTCCATGAACAATCCTTCCTTCCTTCCTGCCTTTCTTTCTTTCTTACTTGCTCTTCTTCCTTCCTTGCTTCCTCGCTTCTTTTTGTCTCTTCCTGCAGGCATTGCTTTCTCTGGGGGAGCAATTTCCCGTTGATTTCTCTGTACTAGGCATTTTTGGTTGTTTTTTATCCTCCCGTGCGCCGGCTGGGGGGGCCGGTTTTCCTTTGATTTCTCCACATTTTCAGTTGTTTTTTATTTATCCTTATTTTTCTTGTTTTTTTTAACCTTATTTGTTTCTTTGTTGATCCTTATTTGTTTTGTTGATCCTTATTTGGTTTTTTTGATGCACATCCCGCGGCTACGGGGCTATCTTCAAAGCCATGGACACAAGTCGGTACATATGCTTGTCAACCCATGACCGGAGCCAGTGCATCCAGGGCACATTTCTTGACTCGACTGCAAGAAGATCTAGTTTCGGCGTCTGTAAACCGCGGGCATCTTGGCCTGCAGCCGGGAGAATCAAGCAAGCGATGCACTCCCAATATCCGATCTCTGACAAGCTATCGTTTTGGCATGTACAAGTATATGCATGCTCATGAGCCATAAGCATAATGTGCTTACACTTGGCAATTCAGACCAGCAGCTCAGCAATGCAACGCAACAACATGCCTGTGGTTCATGAGCAGCCGGCATTCAATTATTCTTAGATGTCTACTTCCAATGCTTTCCATGCACTTCTTGACTACAGAGGGCACCTGCGAAAATCTTGGCTGCAATTGCCTGGGCGATGATGGAAAAGGAATCTTAAAGGCTTGAGATTCACAAGAAGCTACTTGCCAACTTATGGCACAGAAATGCTACAAGCTTGGCCTGCGAATCATCCTAAGGACTTGTTCTGTGCGGCTGGGTCTCAGGTGGGCAGGCTTGGCTTCAGGCCTCTGACATAGAGTGTAGACCTGCTCTAGTTATAGACTGTAGAGTGGAACATCCCACGCAGAAACCCATGGCCAAATGTACGCATCTGCCAAGTGCCAAGTCTTAGCACTGAGAACGCCACAGCTGAGAAAAAGGTCCAGAGTAGAACCACGGCAGAGGAAACCTCATGGCAGCAATAAAGGTCAGACTGGAGCCCTTGTCGGCCATGACAACAAAAGTGGCAGAAAGCCAATGCATCCCCCGCTCCCTCTCGCGGGTGTGGTTAGTCTTTGGTCTTGGGGTACATAATCAAGGAATGAGGCAAGAATCATAGAAAGAGTTATAAAGAGAGTTACTCCGAATCTTCATAAGGATTTCTGTGAAACGAGATCTCATGGAAGACGTTAGATAAAAGACTCTAGAGCACGGAGTTGTGGAGATTGTGCTGTGGCTTTGCCAAGCCACTGCTGCCGCCAAGCCACTCCTTTCCTCATTGCTTCGTTGGTAATTTTTTGTGTAGATCGGCGAGGCTCGCTGAACTCAAGAGCCGATACTGCCACGAGGTTTCCGGAGCCGTTTCTCACTCTCTCCCTGTTTCAAAAGTTGGCTTTTGGCTTCAAGGTGACAGCAGCTTGCAGCAAGCATCAGTATCTGCCATCTGAGCAGTCTCGACATGTTCATGCAAGCTCCAGCTTCACAACAGTGGATTGTGAAAGGGGCTGCTTCTCGACAAGGTATGAGGATGTATGAGGCTTACTAGGGTTTGTACGGTTGTCTGCTTGTCGATCCATATGCAAAGGTCACACACTTAACAACGCGAGGCGGCTACTCAACCACTGCAGTAAGACACACCTCGCTGCCCCTGGCGAAGGAGGCCCAAATTGCAATCCCCTCAAGACCATTACATCTCTCAATTCGCTGAGTTCGTGCATGCGCGGTAAAGGATAATATGGATTCCACAATGGCGCTTTCTCCACTTGTCGTTGCTGCTCATGATTTTGAAGGATCACTCAACAAACGTCAACTCCTCCTTTCTGCCGTGCACTTAAACTCGATGCAAATATTGGCTTTGAGCACTTGTTTTCATGCTTGGAACCCCCTTGAAAGCGGTTCGCGGGATCAGCGTCTATCGTCGATGCGGCTTCGTAAGTGCCTTTCAGGGAGGGATGGATGAAGGCGGCAAGCTCCCATGTGATGTCAACGCAAGGCATATGAGAGCTTGTCAACCTCATGAGTCCCCCCTTGCGGGAGGACTGTAACATCTTCAGGGTGCAATTACAAGCGGCCCCAATGAAAGGTCTTCCTACTACGTCCATACGCTTCTACAAACATATAAGATGGATGCAGGGTCTGGAATGTGGAGGCATGATGACAAGAAGAAGCACCTCTCCGTTCGCGACGCCATTGGGAAGTGCGACAGAAACCTGTGACATTCCAGAACGCTTTCGCTCCACGTGATTGCTGAAGATGCACTGTGGTGGCCAAAACACGAGAAGCGTATCTCTAGAGAAGCGCACGTGCTCCATGCACATGATAGCAAAGATGTTTGAAGCAGGCACATGCCCAAATGCATACATCCAGCATCATCCAGCTAAGCAAGCGCGATGAAAAGCTCTTTGGTTTGGCAGGGACTGCAGCGTGAGCTTCAGCCGTGAGAGAGGGGCCGAGCTCCCCACGCAGCGCGTTCGTCACGATCCATGGAGAGGACCGGACCTGAGTTTCAAGAAGGATCGCTTGCATTCAAGGCCAATCTTCCTGCATCTCCAACACTTTTCATTATAAATCCATATCACACATCCGTTGAGGAATGTTAGCACGGGTCAGGTCCTGCTTGAACATGAGGGTTCCCGCCATACGGTTTTGGTGAAAACATGTATGGTCAAGGGAGCCAGTTGATTTTTTCGGTGGAAGGGAATGGGCTGCAGAAGGGACCTCTCGGATCGGTCCTTAATCTGTGGCGGTCTCGACAAGATTCAGATCCCAGTAGAGAGACTATGAAAAAGACATCCACACTGTTGACTGTCGAGAAGTCCTCTAGCATCTTAGCATATCATGCTACACAACTGTACTGTTATACATTGCCGAGGCAGTATTTTGTTTATGCCTGCTCTGACAGGCAACCCATCTAGACTTGCCATGAACGCTGAGCCGGAAACGCAAGGAACCCCAAAAGTATGACCTGAAATTATGACCCGAAACGGGACCTCAGGATGCTACGGCAAAAGCCCTGCCTCATGCACTTCCTCAACCCTAGAAAGCCTGAGACTTAGAGGCCAAAAACAGAATCCCAAAAGCTCAAACCCTGCACCCCCAAACTCGCAAACCTTGCAAAGTCTTAGCTTTGGACGCATTGGCCGCCTTGCTGCAGATGTTGCAGGGCTTTGCGCCTCGAGTTGACCAATCCCTTCCTTAAATGGGTTTAGGGTATCACGCCTTTCTGGGCCTTGCTGGGGGTAGCAGGAGTGTGATGGTGGTAGAAAGCATTCCTTGCACGATTGTTCCAAGGCCGCCTGACCCTCCCCCTGAGTGTATACCCAAAATGGCCGGATTCTTGTCAGTGTGGCCACAAACAGGGACCCATGCATTTATGGACTTCTGCCTGGCCTGGTTGGGTTAGGCCAGAATCAGATTACCCGAAGGCATTGATTGTTTGGGTCTAAGTCACACATGCTTGCGGGAAACACTCCATGCCAGCCCCCACGTGGGCTTGGACCCAGAAGTGGCCAATTTGGATGTAACATATATGACTGTATGACCGTCTGAACCCTGACATGTCATGGATCACAATACCGTCTGTAGAAGATAGCCATCCTGCAGAGGTATAAGCTCCGTGTGCAAAGGGTGAAGAGCCCGGATTGCAATGCTGAGGAACAGGTGCAATCGCATTTGATGCTCATATCTGCTGTCAAGAGCAATGTGTTATTGGCTCTGAAAGGGTACGCGACTAGAAATGGGAATGACCGCAGCCACGGCACCGAGAGCAGGGACGTCCGCAGTCATTTGCAGTTGTATACTTTATAATTACTTCTGAACTAAACCCTAAACTCTAAACCCCTAAACCCTACACCTCCAATCAAAGCAGGTAGGGTGATTGGGCTGCGACCCCTTGAGAGGCTCCAGGAGTGGAGGGCATCGAGTCGTTGTACCTGCCGATGCTTCGCGGCGATTGTAATCCTTGTGCGATACCAACCAATATATCGTAGTTTCTATTTTCTTGTCCATCCCCGCAAGTTGACTCATACAGATATATTTTCGAGATATATATATATATATACATGTACATCGCTATATGTGGGTCGCAAAGCTAATCCCAAATACCAAACAAAGGTGCTGGAGGGTCGACTAGCTCGGCTCGGCAGCGCGAGAGGGTTTAAGGTATCTGGCTCAAGGTACAGCGAATGGGGAAGGGGTTGCGCTGTCTGGGGCTTGGACTTAGCTGAGAGGCCTTCAGTATGGCTGTCCTTATCAAGCCAAATCTAGTTTGAACGAGTTACGAAAGTGTGTTGTGGGGTCAGGGGAGGACATAGGAACGCAACACGTGGAAGGCTGCAGGTTTTCCTGAGGCTCTGTCGCACCCCACCCACCCCAGAGAACCGAGGCTCTGCCCCCAGCATGTTTACTTGTACGTAGGCAAACAAAAGCCTTCTAGAACCGCAAGATAAACGCCCTACTCAGATTCGGACCAGTGGTCTGTACCTTTAGTCTCATACATGGCAAATGCCTCGCCAGTGACACTTCTTCATGGTAAAGATCTCTCGCAGATAAAAAAGCCACCGAGAACTACAAGTAGAAAAGCCAAGCACATCATTGCAGAGCTCTTGTCATGGAAACTTATCTATGAGGTCATCAACTAAGATCTCTCTTCTTCCAAGCCCCAAGGCCCCGAGCAGGGGCCGCGCCCCCTGGCCTAAGCGTCGGATGTGTGCGTGGGGTACTCTTAGAAGCTTGCTCTTCTTCTTCTTCTATGCGCGTCCCAGAGGGGGTGCGCCGGGGCGAACCCCAAGCACTGCTTCCCCGATTGGTCGGTTGGAGAAAAAGGGTCACTTCTGAAGGCCTTGTATTCGCCTTCTTCTTCTCCCCCCCCCAAGGCCTTCGGAAGTGTTCATTGCCCGGTCTGTACAGTGAGCAACTTCCCCTTCATTGGCTCGGAAATAAACCCTTCACTCTTGATGAGCCGAGGTAAGGTTGGAGAGTGTTTTCCATTCCCAAAGTCCCCTCAAGCTTCTCTCTCTCTCTCTTTCTCATGAAGGACCTTGCAGCTGGTATTCCCGTAAGCTCTTGGGAACCTCCGACTCTAAACTTTCGACCTCAGCCCAGACCCCTGGGAGGATTTCAGCACCAGATCTTGCGTAAGCTCACAACAACCCTTGTAGGCTTCCCAATTTTTGTCATACATAATTTCAATCCCTTTTAGGGTCCGGGAATCTTAAGATCCAAAAATTGTGGTCCCGTGCAAATCCCCGGAGC